ATCGTTGCATAATATTCGGCTTCCAAGAAATTTGGTATTAGACGATCAAACGCAGCTCCAATGGGCCGTCATGCGACATTCTTCTCGGCCGCCTTCTTGGCCACGGGAGGCTTTTTGTTCGGATTCGATTCCGGTATTATCACGTCCACCATCGCACTCCAGACATTCAAAGACTACTTTCACCCATCTGATGCTATTGCCGGAGGAATAGTATCATCGTTCCAGGGAGGAGCGATCATTGGGACGATCGTGAACATGCTATTTTCCGACTGGCTGGGACGGCGCAATACGGTGTTTCTTGGCTCAATCATATCTGGTCTGGGATCTGCACTCCAGGCCGGCTCTCGGAATCTGCTCACCCTCATCATCGGGCGGTTCATCGGCGGTGCTGCTGTTGGAATTCTCACATCGACGATCCCTATGTATGCTTCGGAACTGTCGGAAGCCAAGCATCGGGGTAAACTCTCAGGTCTCTTGCAATGGATGCTGAGCTGGGGCTTCTTGGTAGCCCAGTGGTTGGGCTACGGGTGCTCGTTCGTGAAGACTGACTTTTCATGTGAGATCTGATGCTAACTTCGATGTGATAAACTGCTGACTCACCCTAGGGCGCTTCCCTCTGGCGTTCCAATGCATCCCAGGTATCATCTTGGCACTTGGCATATACTTCCTTCAAGAGTCACCTCGCTGGCTCATGGAAAAGGGACGACCTGATGAGGCTCGTCAAGGACTAGACAAGCTACGCATTGGTGTAGATGAGAAGGTCGTTGAGGTTGAGTACAACGAAATCCGACTTGCTGTCCGTGAACAATCTGCCCTCAACAAAAATTGGAATCTATGGAAGGAAATTCTCACTCGTCCCTCCTGGCGCAAGCGCCTGCTCTTGGGTTGCGCTCTTCAAGCATTTTCGCCATTGTCTGGCATTAACGTCATCAACTACTTCGGCCCTCGCATATACGAACTTCTGGGCATTGGGACCCAGACATCATTGATGATTATCGGTATAAACGGCGCCCTTGGCATTATCTACAACTCCGTTGGCCTTTGGATGTTGGATCGCGTTGGGCGAGTTAGACCTCTCATCGTCTCTGCTCTCGGATTGGCGGCTGCCCTGCTGGTCAACGCGATTCAATTCCAGTACCTGGACAGGTCTAATGCGGACCAGTTAAGGAGTATGGTGGCCATGAACTTCGTGTTTGGCTTCTTCTTCACCCCGCTTGGCATCATCAGCTGGGTGTACCCTGCAGAGATTTTCCCTTTAGAAATTCGGGCCCTCGGCAATGCTCTCACCACCTTCACGAACTGGACCGTCAATCTGATTCTGGTCTCATTTTCACCGCAAGCCCTAACGGCTGTAGGATTTAAGTTTTTCTACGTCTTCTTCGTCTTCAACATGATAGCGGCGGTTTGTTATTATTTGTTTTATCCAGAAACACGAGGCAAGACTCTGGAGCAGATGGACGAGCTTTTCGGCGATGGCGTTCCGCCATTCAACCACCAGTCTGCTCCAGCTATTACAGAGTCTACTGATGAAGAGGCTCGGGGCGAAATCATTTCGGCTGGGGCTACAACACAACCCTTGAAAACAACCAAGCGTACGTACACCAAATACAACACCTTTCATTTGGAGGGATAGAAAGGCGGGCTTCGGAGTTCGGGATACAAGGGACGTATTGTCAGACTCACATAATTTAAAGCAGGTTCTCCAACGAAAGATTGTGAGACATAGTAGTGATAAACCAACATGAGATTTTCAAGAGTTTCGTCTGAGCTAAGAGCCGGAGACGTTGAGCACTTTGTCACTGAATGACAAGAGTCAAAGCCATGGATGGCAGAAAAGCTATGTGATCCTGACTGCTATTGGGTGCCCCTGATTGGTAGCAAACAAACCGACAATCGGTTGCCAACACCGCCGCGGTGTCAACAAGGCGGCGCCTTTTCTTGGCTAGCTAAGCCACCGACATCCCAGCCTGCTGTGCCGCTTGAGGCACACAAGCATAGGCATTCAGTCCTGCAAACAGGAATATAAATTGACGGCAGTTCTCCCAACGTAAGGCATGGCGGTGTTGGTCTCCGCAAACAAACCTGACTCATCGATGGTCATCATAGTTGCTCGTTCCAATCGTATTCGACTCCTTGCACATCCTTCTCCGCCTTATCATCGCGGCAATATATACGCTGATTACTGAGATGAATATCGAACACGAGAAAACAAAGACTCTAACAATGGCTGCCAGCTCAACATTGTTGAAAGGTAATCATGTCGCCTTGAAAGTTGATTGCAGGGTCTGACAAAAGCAGAGCCATCTGAGTACCAACAAAATCGTGCGCGGCTGCGTTGCGCGATTTGCCGGGCCATCTTCTGGCTCATCCTCAATCTCTTTTTTCTAGCAGGACATATCTACATCCTACACGGCATCTACTGCAGATACCAGAGTTGGAACCAATTGAGCAGTTCCGACAAGCGGTGGATTTTCCAGCCGTTCTTTACATCGTTTATAGTGCTTCTATATCTCGCAAACGCGAGTTTCGATGTGGTGGATATCAGAGAGGAAAAATTACGCCAAGCTTCAAAAGACCACTCGTAGAGAAGTGACCCCGTCACCTGATGGCGGCTTCAACATAATCCAAGACAATTATTTGGCCACAATACCACGCAAACACCTATCAAACCAGGGCCCCTGGACGCACCGTATGCCCAGCTTACGAACCTATGCCGGACTCCTGCTCCTGCCTTGCATTCAAAGGATGCCACCCCAGGGAAGTTCAATCCATTATTGGCTATTGATGCCGTGCCGATTATCGTCTCACGCCACCTTAGAGGCTCGTTCGGACTTGGAGATGGGGCGAACCAATCACTATGTTGCACTAGCTTCGGAGATGACTTTTCGTCTGAAGAATCCCCTCGGGACCGGAAAGTCTCACGACAGAGACGTTGGAGGCCCGTTCTTCATAGACGTCATTTACCTCCTCACATCCTTTTCTAGCAATATTCTGTGGTGTTTCAATTGATCCATTGGCCGTAATCGAACCAACCATATCCTTGGCTATTCAGATCCCGTAATAGTGATTTTCCAACATCCCCGATGGCCATTCCAGAAGTCAACGCACCAAACGAAAGCCATCAGAATGGCGGACCTAAAGTCGCAATTGTTGGAGCGGGGTTGACGGGTCTGATCACGGCCCATGGCCTCAAGAAGGTGTGTCGTAGTGCCTATTTCATATTCTTTGAGATTCTCGCGCTGATGATCGGCAGAACGGATTTGAGGTCACGGTCTTCGAGCGCGACGCGAGCATTGATGCGCGTCCCAGAGACTGGACGATTCTGATTCACTGGGGAATGTCGACTTTGACCGAGATGCTCCCCGACCACATAGTCAAGAACTTTCCAAAGGCTTATTGCAATCCTCATCTGCGATTTGATGATTGGGACGAGAGCGTCCTTGGGTACAACGCCCTTACTGGCGAGGTGTTGTTCCGGAACTCCACTCCCGGCGCCCGGCGAGTCAGCCGTCGTCGCTGCCGGGAGGTTCTGGCGGAGGACCTTGACATCCAGTGGGGTAAAGGTCTCAAAGCGCTGGACATCATCGACGACGACTGTGTGCGACTTTCTTTCAATGACAATTCAAACTTCGATACAAACTATGTTCTGGGAACGGATGGTGCGTCGTCAAAAGTTCGGGAGTTTCTGGTGGACGCCGAAGTTGCCAAGCCGGTGCCCTCCGGCTTCATGATCGCCAACTGCAATGTTAAGTACGGAGAGGAACAGAAAGTCAATACAATCGTGAAGGCACACTCAGTATTTGCCTCCATGCTTGGTTCTGGGGTTATGGCTGGTTGTGGTGGTATGTATCGCTTACCATTCTTTCCCGCCGGGAGGTTTTAGCTAATTTTGCCTCTGACAGTCATGGCTGTAAACGATCCCAAAGACGTTGCCTCATGGGAGACGTTTTGGGTCAAAGTCTGGAAAGGAGACCCCGTGACTCTAGCTGGACAGGAAGCAATTGACTTTGTCAAAAGTGACTTGGAGGGGTTTTGCGAGCCGTTCCGATCCGCGATAGAGTGGACACCGGACGGAAGTCTTTGCTACATTGACGAAATGAAGTATTGGCTGCCGTCAGCCTGGCAAACTCATGACGGAAAAGTCACACTTGCAGGTGACGCAGCCCATCCGATGCTCCCATGTAAGCAAAACCGCATCTGCTTCGCTATTTTCCGTGCTGACTCTCCTTCAGTCCGCGGCCAAGGTCTTCAACATGCCATTATCGATTCCGACAAGTACGTGAAAGCTCTAATTCTACTGAGGAAGACTGGCGACATGGCAATGAGAGAGGAAACCATGACGTTGTACGGAGCTGACGTCGTTGCACGTGGCTGCACCGCGGTTGCGCAATCGCTTAGCGAGGCCGAGAAGGCAATGAACAAGGACACCGTCAGCAAAATGCTTATGGTTACTCAAGGACACGGTAGGTCTATTTGAGCAGGACGGTGATCAGAGTACGGTCTAGGCGGGCGAGAATTATGTTACAAAGGAGTTCGTTTTGATAAAAAGATAGAAGAAGCGATGCCAACTTGAGATTGCAAGGACTTCCATCGAAAAGTATGAGAGATAGGTTTTGTGCATTATCACTCATTGGGATGAACAAGTATCATTGAAATCACTCTCAGACCGTCATCCTGTCGACTTCGCGTAGAAATCAAAGTGAAATGCTCGAGGCAGCTGATTACAGGAGGGTGAATTTTGTAAGATTCAATGCAATGTTCAATCATAAGGTAGTCCTCACTCGGGAGTGTTCTACTTGACACAGGTGATCAGCCTCAAGCCCTCGAATACAAGAGGGCCCAGTCGTCAGCAATGATAATGTACAAGATGCATTGTTATATCTACACAGGAAGACAATGGTAAGAGGTCCCGAGGACGCTAACAGCGAAGCCTCGGATGCCAAAGACGAGAAGAAGATAATCAACGACGTGCTCTCGGCTCCTTTGGGCCGGTTTAATGCTTAGCATTGCTTCTTGGATCCATCGGTGTAGAAGTAGTCCTCGTTGATCTTGATGGAGTCGGCGTGCCAGGTCTTGCCACCATCAGTAGTCTTGATACCGCTGGAGGAGCCGCCGGTAAGCTGAAGGGTGTCTCCGAAGTTAGAGTCGGCCTCACTGAGAGTGACAGTAAGGTTGCTCCAGCCTGTAAGGATTTGTTTAGCACAAGTCAACGACACGAGACATTTTCGAGGGTGGCTTACTGTAGGCACCAAGGGTACCGCAGGCGCCTGAGTAGCACTCGTTGCTGGAATAGATCCAGGTAGGAGCCTTGCCGTTCTTGTCCTCTGCAATCATGTGTTAGAATAAAGTATTCGTGTTAATGAGAGAGGATCTTACTGTCGGTCTGCTGAGAGACAAGGGCGCCGTTGATCCAGACCTTCTGGGTCACACCCTTGGAGGCATCATAGGTGACTGCAGGCATGTTAGTATTTGACATCGCGTGAATCTGACGCCGGGAAGTGGACTTACGCTCGAAGTCAACGTTGGACTTGTTGGGAATGGCAACGTAGCTCTGGGCAACCTGCTCAGCTGTGTGAATGTTAGTAACTGTATTACCAGGGAACCTTGTAAGCGTAGCACAACTTACTTCCAGTGAAAGTGCTGGCAGCGACACACCAGGCGTCGTTGGCTGCAGGGCAGCCCCTATCGCAAGATCGTCAGCTCGTTCAAGCATAATCAACTCGAACTGCGCCGCTACTTACTCCTGAGCATTGTTGGGGGCCCAGTTCAGCAGGGGCTGGAAGAGATCCGTGCTATCGTCGCTCAGGGACTGGGAGATGCCAACCCAGATCGACATCCAAGGCTGGGCATTCTTGTCCGCGACAACTGTTCCGCAGGGGATAGAAGGAGGGACCAGAGTGTAGGTGGCCTTGGCGATCGCGTTGCTGGCGGGGCCGAGGTTGAACATGTTGCCGAACTTCCAGTCATCGTACTTGCCTCGCACAGCGAGGGCACCGGCGGCAGCAGCAAGAGAAGAGGAACGCATCTTGGTTTGGTTTCAAACAAATAAAAGAGTGAATAAAAAGTTGGTTGGTTAATGAAGCAATGTCTTGACAGAGAGTGAGCCAAGAAGGCCAAGACTGATGGTTGCACTCAAATGCTTATATTCTTTTCAGCGGCATGTTCTAACTACCTATTTTGACGATCCGTCGCACAGGCTGGGGCAATTCTCGCCGGCGATAAATTGAAGGGGTCGTCGCTGGGTTAAAGCGGGCTGTCGTTGCAAACAAACGATCCTACTCGGCTAGGGGCCGAGTTGCGCTGATCGTTTAATTGGGTTCTGGATAAGACGGCACGTCCCAGGGCTGAGACTTAACCCGCGAATCGAAGCTGTTGGAGTTCGATTCTTCGTTTTAGGGGTTGCCTTATTCAGGAATCCGGCTAACTTGCCAATTTAGCTTCCGGTCGCACGGTCGCATATCTATCTACGACTCGCTTCGGTCTCGTTCATCACCTCACTGCGGTCTCTTGCGATCTCGTTCACGGGCTTCTCCAAGCGAATAAGATCTAGTCAGCTGAGGTTCGTCTTGAAAAATACGACTCCGGTCTTTCGCTGGATCGCCAGCTTGACGACCCTTGTACCATCGTCACTCTCAGTTGACATTATCGGGGAAATACTAGCCGGCCTCATTCGATTCATCTACCATTCCACCGGGCCCATTTAACCAGATTCTCGGGGCGCTGAAAGAACCGGTGAATCTCTAATCTTCTTTTAGAATTCTGAAGGCCACTTTTAATCCCATTCGGTTCCATCCGTTCCATCGATCCCATCAAGTTGCCCCCCACTTCCCGCGCTCATCTCCCTTCTTGACACCAGCTCGGAAGCCAACCTGCGGGTTATTCCAACTTCCCTCCAAAGTGAGTCTGCTATGTCGATTATTCGCTCTCGTCAATGACTCCTCCCCAGGGACTTGCCTCTTTTCCGTATACGATGCTCTCCAATTTCTCCTTCAGCAATGAAATATGCGGCACTTTTCCCAAGGGTAAACGAATCGTGCGCCCGTCATACATGATCTCAGCCACCGGCTGAACCCAGGCAGCAGTCCCAACCACGAAGACGGCTGCAAGACTCTCGTCGTCGACCGCCCGGACAATATCGGACATGGTAATGTCACTTTCCAACACCTCAACCTTTTCAACATCGTTATTCGCAGGGCCACCGACGAACATCTTGCGCGACAGTTCGAGGATAGATCTGCGAGTTCCGCCTGCAAGAATAATCTTCCTTTCATCGAGCGGCGGTGTCACCATCTGAAGACCTCCCGTCGATGTCCTCCAAATGACGAAGACGTTTGCGGATCCAGCGTCAGTAATCTGCCGATCCGGTCCAAAGAGCCAAAGGATCTGGTCATAGCCCAGTCGGCGAGCTTCGCCCTGAGCCTGAATGGTCGGACCATAGTTGGCAGCTACCTTGGCAGCTCCAGTGCCGCCTGGCCATGCTCGAACAGTCGACTCCGTACTAGCCAGCAACCGAATTCCGTTCTTCGTGTTGTCATCGTTCGGGGCTGTCGTAGGGTTAAGCGACGGCCAGTGAATGAGAAAGATGTAGAGCAGCGCCTCCTCTGGAACCCTGAGACCAAGACTGCTGCTGTCTGTCCCAATCAGCGTCGGCCTGATGTACAACATGGAGCTGGTCTTGTCGTTGGGGAGCCACTTCGGTGCTTCAATCACGCAAAGCTTATGAATAAGTTTCAGCAACTCTTCGGGCTCGAAGCCAGGTAGTGAGATTCGCTCAGCTGACGAAAGCATGCGGTTGCAATTGTAGAGCGGGCGGTGCAGTCGAAGACGACCGTCAAATCCGCGGTAGACCTCCATGCCCTCGAAGCAGCCGGTGGCGTATTGGATGACGTTCGCCGAGGGCATCAGAGGAATCGGACCGTAATGGACGAGCTTGGGGTGCTCCCAGCCTTTTGCGGAGGTCCAAGAGACCGTAATCATATGGTCAGTAGTCGCTTTCAAGCTCGTGATCTCCGGGAATCCTGGCGCTGGAACCGGCTTTGGCTCCTTTGTCCATTGGATCTCGAGGGCTGATGCATTCATCGTGGATGGCTTGGTGACCGTCATAGTTGCTGATGGCGTGAGGGTAAGTTCGAATTCCGAGGGTTATTCCGAAAATCGTGAAGAGAAAGCTCAAAGCACCATACCAACTAGTGATCCGTAATGTGTCTACTGAGATATTTATCGTGGGTCATGCGAATATTATGTCTTGACGGTGGATCGGCCTTATCTTAAGGCGCATAGGGCGCAAGGCGCAGGGCGTTTTTGACTGGACATGTCCTCGCCAACTTCTGCATCGTGATTGTCAGCACGTGGGTCGATGGGCGCGGTTGACGTAAATATCGTCGTAAGTGCGTGCAGCAGAGCGGGGAGAAGATAAGGTTGCGATGTTTGAGTAAACATAGATACTACACGTTTTCGCCAGTAACAACGTGGTGGTGCGCGATGATGACTTGATCACATTCGGACGAATGATTAAACTGCCAGTATAGATCAGTACTGGCACCATTCATCTCGCAACACAAGTACTGGTAGTGTGTTTGGTGTCTCCTTTGTCGGGCTGCTTGGCAAGCCTTCGCAACGACATGTGTTGGTGGTTGTGTCTTCTCAAGGGGATCTCCACGTTAGCTCATCATGCTCGTATGATGACAGGCACAGATGATCCTCAAAAGTCTTATATGTACACAACGGTGATAATCAGCTCTATGTACACTCGTTGTACTGTATTTACAAAACTTTAGAAAGACTTCACCAGACTGAGTTTCGCTGCAACTTGAATGATGAGCCAACTCAACCTATCTAGACTTTGTGGTATATCAATCAAAGATGAAGTCCTCCTTTGTACTAAAATCATTTCTACACATAGAATCACTACTATTCAATTTCATGTTGTCTTGCCAATGATGTTCTACAGACTCTGGACGGTGTAGGAGCTTGACTGGTTGTAGGTCATTTCTTGAAATGCATTCTTTATCGAACTAGTTGATGGTGATGTGGTGAACTCTGGACAACAGATGCAACAAGCAGGAAAGGAATAGAGGAACGGAATCAGTTCTGATATAATAATCAGAGTCTCCACCCGATCAGTTATAAATGTCGGCGGAAAGCAAGCGCCTCCTTCACAACTTAAAACATTCTCTAGCGAGATATAGAAATGATGTTGCAGGTCCTTAGTATTGTACCGGCAGTACCGGTAATATGATCTTGTGTCCCACAAAGTAGCCAGCCGGATTCTGCGCTGAGTGTGGTTGTTAGTAGTCCTGCGAAAGTCCGGTGTATCCGGAGTGTCGGGGTCTAGGAGAAAGCCCAACCCGGAGGATTCCAACACGAAGAGGCTCGACAAGTGGGGGTGGATTCCACCGCAGCATGAACTGCAGAGGAATATTGCTAAGGGGTTGCAGCCTGAGTCGGATTCCGCATCAACTCGATCACCCCAAGTCGTGATTACCCAATGCTTGAAAAGCAGTTTCCAGTCTGATTCCTGCTCCAACTACGTACACCGAGCCAATTGTCTGAATATTTCTGGTGATTCCCTCATCAAGTTCCTCGTATCAAAGCGGGTGTGGGAGATCAACTCAGTACTTGTAAACAGTGGAATCGATCTAGAACCTTGCACTCGCGGACTGTTCCGATGCTTGATTCCGCCAGAACCTGGCCATTCAGGACCAGACTGACTGACCATCATCGCGAACGACAATGTGCTAGTATTTCCAGCAACAGCACCGCTGAAGTCTGGACTGGACACCGCCTTGCGGCTTTCCCGCAGTCGCCTTGACAATATGGAGGAATTATTCCCGTAAATGAAGTGTCTCCATGGATGTTTGAGGCGAAAGTTTCTCCCTCACAAGACTCAGAGTCTTTGGCCTAGGTAGCCAATTGACAGACTTGCCAACCAAGAACTCATACTTTAAATAAACTCTTTGTAATGAAATAGCCTTATTCCCCCGTATTCTCATACCGGCGGGATCCCGCAACATTGAAGGGGTAAATTGCGAGACCAATGACAGCTGCCATGACTCGGCTGCCAGTGTGTTGAGAGCGTTCGCTTAAGCATTTGGGGGCATCCACCGCAAAGATCGAGAGATGCACCCGGCGCACCCGTGCTGCCCTTTTATCATTTAGGTATGTTACACCGGCGCTCGAACATACATAGTAATAGCAGAATCTCAATTGAGAATCAACCGCAGCGTTCTCTCAATGATCAAAGCGATCGTTTTGAAACGGGCAGAATTGCAAGCGCTTTGGACGTTTGCATGGCCCCCAAAGCGAGCGCAACACACACACACACTTAAATCCAACCCGACCCAGGTTAGCCGAGCCCAAGAAAAATCGGGGAATATTCGCCTCAATACCAAGAACTCGGGAGTGTTGAGTAAACTAAGAACCAACCTACGCAGTAAGCTTCAGGAGAACTTTCCGAGCATTTAGATTGTTTATGGGGAACCAAACGCTGTCAGCCGCCATGGGTTCGCGCTGGCAAGCCGCCCGTGTCAGAGAGTTGTGGAACCTGAGCCCCCCTGCTAGGATCTTTTGACTAACAGGCCCAACGGCGCTTAAGCGAGGGTGGCACGGTACGGGAGAGGCGATGAGGCCATCGTCAGGTCTGGACGCAACGGGGGTCTAGGCGAGGCCATCGTCATTTCAAGATGTGGGATTATGGGGGAATCGCATATTGGTATAATCTTGTTACATTCGTGACTTGAATCGCGGCTTACAGTCGATGTCTGAACCGACTTTGCAAACGTCGCAAAACAACGGCAGAACCATTGTGAACAAGGCACTGTATTCGCCCTTCCAGAAGTAAGCTTGATTCCATCAATCACGAGATTTCAGTCTCTCTAGCCTAGGGGATGAAACTCGACTTCTCTTTTTGGCAGATCGATGCAAGGAGGAAAACCGCATGCGGAATAGGGCACGACGGGTGAAGGGGGCGGAATACGAAAAACCAACGTGATTGGAGCGACTTGCGCGCCGTTTCATCGCAAATTACCTTCACTTTTTCGGAAACACTGGGTGCGACCCCACGGCCCCGGGGTGTTCAACACCGCCAACAGCCCAAACGACTTACACAGAGAGCCCCGTCTTCGGTCTTGGCCTCGCTCATCGCCAACGAGCCCGTCATAATCCTCCGGCACTTTTGGATCAATCCTTACTAGAAGGTCTTGGCGATGGAGGCGTCTGGTTGTGTTAAAAAGATGGCGGCTCCTCGAGCAACGTCAAGAGAGAGAAAGATCTCTTTGATCAGCAGGTCCTATCTCATCAACTCTTGGTATCGTCCGTCCTTTCATTGAGAAAAGCATAGTTCTTTTCTGCAGTCCATTCATTTTCGATCTCGTCCATTCTTTTCAATACTCACAAAGTACATTTACTTTCCACCAACTCACACCCATAAACCTCGTCCAAAATGGCCCGTTCCAACCAGCTTCTCCTCGCCGTCTTCCTGGCTCTCACCGGCGTCCAGGCCGCCCCCCAGCCTGCGCGCTTCGGCACCCCCGTCGTCGCCCGCGCCGCCGAGCCCGCCGAATTCTCCACCCAGCCCTCAGCCGGCCCCGGCGGCAGCTCCTTCAAGGACTCGGCCCACTTCCGCGTGTACGGCGCCTCGGACGCCGACGCCACCACGGCCCTCGGCATGCTCGAGGGCGCCTACGAGTGCTTCGTCAACACCCTCGGCTGGCGCTCCTCCGGCCTGTCCTTCGACGACGCGACCGACGCCGGCCCCTGGTACAAGACCAACGTCTACACCGTCAAGACCCTCGACAGCGCCGCGGGCGTGATGCACTCCGAGCAGGCCTCCGGCGCCGCGTGGCTCGAGGTCGTCGACACCTACCTCACCATGGCCGGCGTCACCGTCCACGAGTGGGGTCACGGCCTGCACTACCACCAGAAGACCTGGGTCGACCAGGCCGCGACGGGCACCTGGTGGGAGACGGTCGCCAACTGGATCGCCGACACCTACCAGACGTCGGACCTCTGCGCCGCCGCCCGCGAGAAGCACAACCAGGAGGAGGGCCGCACCGAGTTCGAGGTCAACAAGGTCCTCGGCGACTCGTTCCAGGTCATCGTCGACGGCACCGTCGACTCAGGCAACTACTACCAGGCGTGGCCGTTCCTGACGTACCTCACCAACAACCCGGACAACATCGGCGGGCTCGGCAAGGACGCGCTGCACCAGATGATGAAGCAGTACAAGGAGGGCAGCAACGAGACGCCGCTGCACACGCTCAACCGCGTCGCGTCCAACAGCACCGCGGGCGAGATCGTCGGCGCCTACTGGGCCCGCATGGCCTACGTCGACATCGGCCACAAGCAGGCGCAGGACATCTTCCTCGCCGAGCAGTCGCGCATCAACTTTGCCAACGTCGACGGCTCCGGCTCCGAGTACAAGGTCAAGAGCGCCCGCGCGCCGCGCTACATGGGCTCCAACATCATCCCCCTCAAGGTCAGCGGCGACAAGGTCGAGGTCAAGGTCACCTCCTCGGGCGAGTACACTGCCACCCTGTCGCTCTTCAACGCGAGCACCAAGAAGGGCCGCTACGTCAAACTCGCCAACGGCGCTGGCTCCGCGACGCTCGAGTCCGGCGAGGAGGCCAGCCTGGTGATTGCCAACACGCCCAAGGAGCCCATCCAGTACAGCGGCTTCGAGCTCGCCAACAGCGATGCTAACAAGGGCCTGGACTACTCCTTCACCCTGACAGGTGCCACCGTTGCCTGAGCGGGATCCGGAGGGTGTGTGTTTTGTACTTTTGAGTAAATACTTCTATTCTCTGTATACTGTCAGCCGCTGGATGCAGGCTTGTACATATTTTTTCAAGATACCAAGCATTGGAACGTTGTTTCCGCAAGTTGAATATCTCTCATGTTTATGACGCGTGAAGTGATTCTGCCTTGCTTCTTTGATAACGCTTTGCGTAGCTGAGAGTGGTTCATGTTGTAACCTGATCGTTGTTGTAAGGCGGACTGTGGTTGAGTAATGCTAAGCTTTGCGAATCTAGACTTCGTTTACGGTATAGGTAGCCTGAGAAGCGGCAGAGTACTCAATCGCTGAGGACAGCGCAATCGTGATTGCAGCACAAATGACGAGAGTCTTTGGTGGGGGCATCCAGTTCGTAGCCACTTGCCTCGCTGACTTCCCCAAGACCCTGGTCAGAACTCTCTGACTTAAGTTGCCCTCGATGAATTCCAGAATCTTTAGTTGCAAGAACGACAGTCGGAGGAGATAGGCGCAGTACATGACGATGCCTCCCACGTAGTCAAGGCTCGTCTTCTGCATCCCTGCTGTGAAAACCACAATGGGAAGGATCCGTAGGTTGACCATCCCCACAACGTTGGCAAGCATGGCCCTTCTGAACGTCAAAGAGGAGCCCGCATGACGCCCATGCAGCCTCGAGAGGGCGACGGTATCAGAGAACAGCTCGGTTATGAGGCCCGCGTAGATCAGGTATATCGGCCGCCGCGGCATATTCCGCACAAGAACGAGAAGCAGAGAAGCCAGGGAGAGGACATGATGAGTGACGTATTCGGGGGAGTAGGCGAGCAGTGGCAGCTCAGAGACCCAGAGGATGCCGCGGGAAGCTAGGCAGACCTTGCCTGCTGTGGTGAAGGGTCGTTGAACGCCGAAGATATCTGATTCTCGAGGCGTATTGCCGTATGCGTACAAGCAAATGGGGGTGGAGACGAGGGTGAAGAGGATGCCGAGGGGAAAGACGAAGTAAGGGGCAAGTTTGGAAGATGGGTCTTTTTGGAGGGTTGCGTAGAATGAAGGGTTCCAATGCTTGACGACGTAATGCAGTAGACGGTTTGCAAGTTGGTAGCCTGCTAGGCCCATGAGAATGAAGGTGAGGTCCGAGGAAGACATCCTCGGCGATGAACGATGGATAGAAAGACGGCAGATAGTCTGGGCATGCCAGCAGGAACCGGGTCATGGGCATAGCATTCCACGGTACTTTAAAACAGGTTGGCACTTGCCCTTTAGTCTTGGCCGGCAGTTCGAAGCACGCATTGGCGACTATTCTAGGGAATGTCTTGGATGTCAGTTGCCCAGTCTTGACGAGAATGCGGCCGAATTTCGTGAAGTTAATTCTCACGTAAGCACGGGATGTACTATCAATATTAAGACAAGCTGACGGTGAGAATGCAGTAATGCAGGAGAGTCTGCGTTTAGTGCAGAACGGGTTGGGGGTGGTCACTTGTGAGCGTGGGGGTTCAGAAGCAGGTTGTCACTACAGTGTACGTGTGGCAGGTTACTCTGGTAACCATGCATTGCAGCACTTGCTCGCCATTATGTTCTGACATTGGTCTCGACTCTGCGGCTTGAATTGTAAGGCATTGAAGGAAGTTTTTGACCTGGTCTCTGGCCCTGCAGCGTCGCGGATCTCGTCCGGCCGGCCCCCGTGTGGAGCGGAGCATTTGCGATGACCTGTCCGAATCTCGGAGGACAAGAATTCGCCGTGACAGAAGGGCTTGCCTGGCGAATCTTGGCCGCGGGTTGGTCGGCCCATGCAATCTCGGAAGATGGGAGGATCAGCTGGACAGGGTTGATGGTGCTTGGGTGTAAAGTGTGAGGAAGCCTGCCGACGAGAGCATCGGGCAAGATTCAAAGGGGCGCATGCTGCAGAGTGTGAGGCTCGTGAGATTCGTCTCTGTCTTCCAAAGGATCTGTTGCTGTAAATACGTGGTCCAGTATCTATCTGCCTTATGTGATGGGGAAAGACAGAAAAGGAAGTGAAGGCATCCGGAGGTGTCGGGCGCCGGTGGGCAGTCTTCAGGGGGTTGTCGCCCTCCGGAGTGCGCTAATTTTATGGAGTCTTGGCGCTGCCGGTGCCCGTCGGGGGTCGCTTCTGTTTAGGTTGCCATTGGGCGAGCCCCACCAGATTGGCTCTGCGTACTGTGTGCGTTCACGTCTTTTTGTTACTGTCCGCGAGCCCCCTATTTGAGGCGCTGGAAATTGAGCGTTCCATCCAAATTCCCGTCGGTCTTGGCATCACTGGCCACTGGGCTTGCTCCATCGTAGTGGAGCCAGCACAGTGTGGATACACTTGACAGTGCTGCTGATGAAAGGTACGTACCTCGACGAAAGTTGGTGTTTGGGGAAGGTGAGTGGGAGGTCACTTCGTCGGGTCTTTCCTTCTGGAGAGAGCTGGAGAGTTGCACCTTCCCTCCGGATTTTCACTGAAGGGTCGTTCCTTCCTCCCATCTCCAACCTCTCCAGCCAATCACATTCACTGCCACTTTCATCCTCTCTCACTTCACCTTCACTCTCATCTCACTTCGTCTCACTTCATCTTCATCTCTCACCCATCACCGCCAAAAGTCTTGAGATGCCCAGCCTCACGCAATCCCGTCCCTGCCCAGACGTCTGGGTCCGAACCCAAACGATCGTTGAATGTCGGGCGTTTTACCAGCGGCATCGCAAACGAGACCTCGCCCGCGGCAACCGGTGGCCCCGCGCCGCTCTCTGCCGTCGTGTGATCTGCCTTGGCTGTCCCGATCGCTTTGCTTGGCGCACATTAACAACACAATGCCTTGGCTTTTTCCTGCATAAGACGCAAGAGGGATGGGAAAAGGGAGGCTGCTTCTTTTCGCCTCTTCCATGATTTTTCGCATTCCGTCAGCCAGGCCTCTTTTGCGCGTATTCCCAGCGACCGTATCTGCAGCAGTAAGCCATCAGACGTCGCTTCGCTTCGTATCCGACTTTTTGGCAGCGCCCAGTGGATGACTAAAATCAGGTCAGATGCAACTTAACCTTACCTTAAGGTACGGATACCTTAGTCTGGTAATTAGTTACTTCAGTGGGCTGCGGTGTCACGCTTTGTCCGGCCCCTTCCATTGTTGCTGCTCTTCTTTTGCCTTGAGCATCCGTACCTGATTCTTCCAACGGTCTTCTTACCCGAACCCGGTGTCCCTTTGGACGATCATCGCAACTCACTATCGACTTCAGTTCTTTTTCTCCGTCTGAGAGTCTCGCCATCCATCTCCAACCCACTCATTCGCCCCGTCGCAAATGGCCCCGAGACGCCATCGCATCGCCAAGGCGCTGCTGAGTCTTAGCTCTCATTGACCCCTGAATCCATCTCTTGCAGCATCCACCCTTTCACCATGGGATCGTCAAGGCGAGAGCTGAACCAGTCAACACCGCGGCAGCAGCAGCAGCAGCAGCAGAGTTGCCCACTTCCCTTGATTGACTCCTGTCTTGACTGCCCGTGAGTCGTGACAGGCCCGAGCCCCCCCTCCGTCGTGGCCGTAAACTCCCCGCGTATTTGCCCTGGAATGACGAGTCTTGGCAATGCTCTCCAGAGGTAGGGATGGCTGGGCTTGGTGATCCGACCTGCTGGCTGCTGGTGGTTGCCTCCTTGCCTCCTCTTCCCAGCCCAGCCGCTCTCGTCCGTCTCAAGAGCGCCCTGGGTTCGTCTGTTGTCTCTACCTGTCACCTGCACTGACTGATGTAAGGCTTTGAGGCTGAAGCTACGTATTGCCTGCGAGTGTAACTTTGAGTCCTCATCAATCTCCAACACCGTCAACTGCAGACAAATGCAGACGCCCTCAGTCCCCTAGAGTCGAACCTTGTTCGCAACGTGCCGTGGCCAGACCCAATCCGTCACGGAGAACCAAAGCACCCAATCAGCCCGGTTCACCCGTGGCAATCCATCCAGGGCAGGGCGGCTGTTCGTCTTGGGTGCACTTTGGCGAGAAAAGGCGACTCCTCTGTCCAACGTCGGCGCCGTCTCTCATTTGCTGCACAGCCCCGATGCCCAGAAGGCCAAGACCGTACCAAGAATACCAAGACGCTGGCGGCCACCAGCACCAATTCACCGCATCATCCTGCCTGTGTGCTGCCCTGCTTGTTCTGGATCTGACCTGAGTCTGTTGTCCCGTCGTCCCTGCCTTCCCGTGGTCTGTGGTCCTGTGGTCTGTGTTGTGGTTGTGTGTGTGGTGGTGTGTGTCCATGTCTGTTTTTGTGATGGGTGTGTGTATTCCTAAATGCCCCTACCTGCAGACAGACAGAGAGTATCCATTCAATGTCCTCTTTCAAGCCTTGGCAATAGAAAAAAAGTCTTGGTATTTCTGCCACAACAAGAGATATACACTCCCGTGCCCCCCTTTTCCCGCGCAGCTGCCGGGCTTCTCGATTCTGTTCCTGCTTTTTTCTGTCTCCATTCCCAATTCACCATTCACCACCAACAACAACGCCGGCGACAGTCACTCGTTCGCTGCGAAACCTCAACCAACCCGCCCCAGGAAAACACACCACCACCACCGCCGCCGACACCAATCCCGACGACGACTAATACGAACACACTCGCGGCGCCTTCAATTCACGAAAATAATTCTGGCAAAGACGGCCATGATTAATCGCTTGTAACGAATTTTACTTTCAACGCTCGCTATTTTTTCAATTCGACACGTTCGCTACCTCAACGACCCGACCGACAACCTGCAATCGCCCACCCGATCGACCGCACCACCGCTTCTCACCTTTTTTCACCACCGTCACCACACGACTGGGCGTCTTTTTTGACCGTTTTTAACCCAAACCCGACCGGCACATCGCCATGGTCACATCACTCGCTACAGCCGCCTCGGCGGCACTCCTCTTCGTAGGAAGCCTCCCCGCCGCCAGCGCGCAAGTCTACAGCATCGACAGCAAAGGTCAGTGAAGAAGTCTCCGTCGCATCCCCGGTGCAAACGGACTAAGACTACGCCTTCACCCAAAAAACCACCCCCACTGACACCCGGCCCAGACAACATCAAATCCGCCGCCAAAAACCTCGCCTACGACCTGATGAAGTTCTACAAGGGCAACGAGTCCGGCGAGATCCCCGGAATCCTGCCCGGCCCGCCCACCGAGCACAAGGGCGACTACTACTGGTGGGAGGGCGGCGCCATGATGGGCACCTACATCGACTACTGGAAGCTCACCGGCGACTCGACGTACAACGACCTCATCATGGAGGGCATGCTGCACCAGACCGGCCCCAACGCCGACTACATGCCCCCGAACCACACCGCCTCCCTCGGAAACGACGACCAGGGCTTCTGGGGAATGTCCGCCATGCTCGCCGCCGAGAACAAGTTCCCCAACCCGCCCGAGAACAAGCCCCAGTGGCTGGCTCTCGCCCAGGCCGTCTGGACCACCCAGGCGAGCCCCGATCGTCACGACACCACCTGCGGCGGCGGCCTGAGATGGCAGGTGCCCTTTTCCAACGCCGGATACAACTACAAGAACAGTGCGTCTCCTCTCTCTCGTTGTGATCCAATCACAAAACTTTGGGAAGACGAGTGACATGCTAACATGAGGCACAGCCATCGCAAACGGGTGCTTCTTCAACATCGGCGCCCGCCTCGCCCGCTACACCAACAACGCGACCTACGCAAAGTACGCCGAGGAGACCTGGGACTGGCTCTGGAGCGTCAACTACATTGATCACGAGAACTGGAATGTCTACGACGGAGGCCACGTCGAGCACAACTGCACCGACGTCAACAAGCAGCAGTTCTCCTACAACGCCGCCATTCTGACCCAGGGCGCCGCCTTTATGTACAACTACGTATGTCACCCACCACCTGTCTAGACCCATAAACAAACTAACACAAACCCCCAGACCAACGGCTCCGACCTCTGGAAAGGCCGCATCGAAAAGATGACCGAATCCCTCTTCATCAACTTCTTCCCCAACAACACCGCCTACGAGCTCGCCTGCGAGGGCCGCAAGGGCCAGTGCACGCCCGACATGTTGTCCTTCAAGGGCTACGTGCACCGCTGGCTCGCCGTCGTCACGCAGGTCGCGCCCTTCATGAAGCCGACCATCGACCCGGTCCTCAAGACCTCCACCGCCGCCGCCGTCAAGCAGTGCACCGGCGGCGCCACGGGCCGCGTGTGCGGCTTCTACTGGAACGACGGCGTCTTCGTCGACCCGGCCACCGACAAGACCTCCGGCGCCGGCGAGGCCATGAACGTGCTCGCCGCCGTGTCGAGTCTGCTGATCGACGATGCCGCGCCGCCTGTGACGAACTCGACCGGTGGTATCTCGGCGGGCGACGTGAATGCAGGAAGTAACTCCAAGGACCGCATCGAGCAGGAGCCGATCACGACGGCGGACAAGGCGGGCGCGGGGATCTTGACGTTTATGGTGCTTGCGGGCGGTTTGGGCACGTGGGGATGGATGAGCTTCGTGGATTAAGGCACCAGGGACGAGTGGTCTCTCAGGGTATGACGGGGATTGTATGATTTTTTATTTTGTTGGGGTTACATTATCTGGATGCGCATGGCATGGCGTTCTGGGTACACCGAGGAGAGGGGAGTATCATTACCACCTCTGTTGATAACTGGACAAGACAAATTTTCTTTTTTTCAGTTGTGCTGATGTGGCCTAATGACCGACTTTGTGAAGTGTACATGACTGACGGGGCATGAGTGAGATGTGATCAGCCACCGCCAACTCTACTCCGGAACCCCACGCCAATATTGGTGCTGGTGGCGCTCGCGGCGTCGGTCTGATCTAGAGTACACTGCACGGGTGGTGCTTGCTGATGATGAACTTTATCTGTGCCTAATCTTGAATCGGAAGTTTGTCGCCTAGAGGGTGGCGGGTTGATGTAGCGCAATGTTCTGCCATGTCGCGGATAGAAAGTGGGCAGAGGAAACATGCGGCTCTTCGACCGTTGGGCGGTAGACGCAGTGTCAGTCAGGCTCGCTGACTGCGCCTTTTCTTGCTCTTACCAAGCCACGCAAGTCTTCTCGGGGTAATCGCGATATCCCATGGTGATCAATTTCGCCCTTCTACGATTATGTCGCATCCGAACATCGTAGGCACGGATAGTCACAATGGTCAACTCCGGGATACATCTGATCTCATGATATCATGGAGAAATACAACCAGTCATTGAGAGTCAAGAGTTCTCATGATTCGAGTTCTTCTCAATGTAGAAGGCTGCCGAGGGACAAGTACTAAGATCATCTCGATCGAAGTATCCATTTGCCTCCCGTTTTGTGTAATTGTCCGCCGATTCCGTGAGGGACTACTTGCTGATGACCCTTCTCTACCAAAGGTTCTCCCTCCTCGAATCTATGCTCAATGCTAGCTAACTCTTCAGAGTTAATAGCGAACAGTGCTGGCAGAGTTGAGCTTTTGATGATGTCGACGTCGGCCACGGCAGTTTCCCAGATTATCATGACCAGGATTATAATAGAAAGGCAGACCTGAACTGCCAGAAAGGTCAACCACTCCCAGCGGACTTTGATATAAGTTTGTTTAGTCCACGCAGTCCCCTCGACAATGGCTCCGCCATCTACCAGCAAACTGCACCACGCAATGTTAACAGTCGAAGCTGGACATACAAAGACAAAAGAAGGCTCACAAATTTATCAAGCCTGTCTCAATGTTGCGCGCCATCCTGTCGATAGCGTCCCACCAGATATCTTGCAGCTCTTGTTCCGTTGGACGGTCTTCCTCAACTCTGCCGTCGTACTCGAACTTGATTTCGGCCATGGCATGCAGAAGCCTATCGCTGCCCGTGGTGATACGTTTCATTGGATCTCTGGCACTCTCGCCGGTGATTGCCTCTCGTAGCACGCCGGTGATCCGCAACCTCGAGACCCCTCCTACAACGTAATCCATGACGTTCTCGGCCTGTGAGCTCAGCTCGATGGCATCAGCATAGACCCCTCCAGTCGACCTCTGGCACTGTGTATGTGATGAGATCTGTGGCGTTTGGAGCTTGTTGTTTTCCATCTTTGCGTCGTATGTGTTGACACACCAATGCATGACTACGTCGGCTGCTCGAGGGGGTTTGCCAGCATCCCAATGGATGACAGAGTAATTAAATATGCTAGACAGGAAAATATCCGGGTTATAATCAGATATTGGCTCTCTCGACTCAACGATTACGCGCTCAGTAGCATTGACTGTCATGTTAACCCCGTTGGGAAGCGTTATTGATGTTGTGGAATCCTCATTCTTAGCTACTGTGAGCAGATCCGTGACATCTGCGGCAAATCAAAAGTTAGACATGTCATGTGTCAAAATGTTTGTGAGAACGAAATAATCAGCAGAGAACATCAAAAAGTCGCGACATGTGCGCCTAACTTGGTGATCTAATCACTTCCGGAAGACAATTGGGTTATTCACCTACCGGTCATGTTGTGGCATACAGCCAGCGTGCTGAAACGAGGCCAGGTACAGTCGCTCAGTGGACAAAACGGCTGTCTGAAATCAAGGATCGTCGTTACGGGTTGAAAAATGGCTTGTGCCATAGCTCGCGACAATCGCGGCTCGAATTCATCTATTTGGAAACGGGAAGTTGGCATAGAAAATGGCAAAACCTAGACTTGATCTTACTGAGTCCATCGCCTTCTAGCCTCTCCACGTAACTACGGAGCCTCCACGCAGTAGCTTGGTCTTGGCTCGTACCTGTGATGTTTCGCTCCGGATACGAAATAGCGGACTGAGTTAAGGTCGACGTAGCGACAGCGGACACGAGTAAAATAGCTGAGAGAATGCCAACTCCCCTATGGTACTGTCAGCAAGGTATCTACAGCTACAATAAGGAGCACTCAGCGTTGTCGACAACCTAGTAGACATGCTCAACATACCATCCTTTTGTGCGAATCAACCGGCTCATTGAGCCCCAAGGCCCTCTAGAAGCCGAGTCGAATAGGTCGAAATCTCTTAAATGTCGCGGCTTCTTCTTGAACCAATTCCACTTGCACTGAGACAGCCCCTCAGCTACCGGGACGGTGAACGCAGTTCTTGCCACCGTCGATATAAACGCGACAGCCGTGTTGACAGTGATGCCCGATGGCCAGTTGGGCAGCGGCTGGTCGTTAAATCCGTAGAGGAGTACAACTAGAGCACCGATAGAGGCGACACTGAGCCAACAGCAGAAAATCTCAAGCCACCACCCATTGAATATCTTTTCTGCAGGTATTGTCCAGGGAACCTGTTTCTCCTCGAGGCGGAGACTGACCGGTCTCCAGTCCGTCTTGGGGATAGACTTCAATGGGCTGGTGTCCGATTCCTGCACGGTCTTGTCTCCCAGACGTGCCCCCTTTTCGTTCCTCCCTCGACTATTTGACCATTCTGCAGAAACGGGAACATCTTCGTCCTGGGTGTGAAGCAACGGTTCGTATGCGTTATCAATTGGATCAGCTTCCTCACTTATGGGTGAAGGTAAAGATGGTACGGGTTTTCGCCTGATTCTTCTCAGGCCGGAGTTTGGAAATAGGCTGCAATTCCATGGCGATGGACCTCGATGTGTGGTAGGTGTCTCGATGTTCACTGAGCGACATGATGGGGCAGGCTGGGCCTTTATTTTTTTGCCTCTGGTTATCAGCGTGGCAACGGGGCGTTTTGATTGGTGAGAAGAACGTTGGCTTCGCTTGGCCGTCGTGCAGTCTGGGATACGAGGGTGGTGATGATCCTTAGGCGTTGAGGGCCAACGGCATCGCCACAGCTGCGACAATATCTTGGCTGTCCGCCCTATCATCTCACATTTTCAAAAGATCTCACTAATGCTATGCATGTAATGTACGATGCGACAAATTGCCTAAGGGGTGATGTTAGTTGTACGTTGACCTTTTCGCACAAGCAGCAATTGGGCCCAATGAGACAGACCCATCAATTTCATCCGCCATGTGCCTCTTAGCGGTTCAGGTAAACGAAGTCTCGGAATCGCTCTGCGGCAAAGAATTACTAGATTTGTCTTCACATGAGGCGCATCTCAAATGGTTCTGTCATCGGTCATTTCGTGGTCATAAAAAAGCGAGGGGGCTGTATGCAAACGTGAGATGCCTGCTGACCACCTGCATTCAGCTGAGGGCGACCTTTGTTCCGCCTAATGCAAGGCTCCCGGGGTCAGATGCATGTTCGAGGCCATATCATTGGGCTCAGCACAGGATGAAGGTGCACTCTACTGGTGCAATAATAGTTTTTGACACTCCAGTTCCGGAGCCGGTCCGGCAACGCTCAAAGTTGGAATTGCCCAGCTTTGAATGACTTATTCAAGTAATTCTGTTTTGCTCTGTAGCTCATATGCGCAAAGGGGATGGTGGTGCCCCACGCTATTAAACCATGCAAAGCTCCCGCAAAGGCGGGAGCAGTGTCAAACCACCCATTTAAGAGACTTATGATAGTTCCCATTAAAGATCTTGTATACGTCTATCCCTTTAAACATGCTATGAGAGACGCTTCAAAGTTATTAGCGCATAGGAAGAAAGAACAATCACGCATGATGCCGAGTGACGTAGACTATGACGGGCGACTTTAATAGTTCAATTATTCAACTAATTTGCAGACTTTCTGGTTTTCTTCATACTCCCTTGCCCTCATTGGAATCCAATGAGAAAGCAGTAATGGGCCTTCAGCCACAGCCTCAGGCTTCGCATACCCTCCTGTTGACAGGTCGGCTCAGTCATAGTCTCCAGTCACAGAGATTACCCAAAAACACCATCATTCTTAGGTTCAAAGTCGACGTGAGGCTGATTCGCAGCGAAGGTCGGATAGTTAGCCGGGTCTGTGGGAAGGATACCCTCCATGATGGGTGCTGACATGCCAAGCTGAAGAGACACACTGTTAGCTGCTCTGCGGATGACGGAAAGTAATGACAAGCGAATACTCACAGCGAAGTACCTAAGCTTGACGGCATGAATCATCGTCGCAGCCTTGGTCGTAACCTTGAAGCGAAGCACACTCCATCCTAGGGGCGGCAGGTCGTGGATCGTGACCAGTCCAGGGTCCTCCAGGTTAAGCGCAGATGCAATATCCTTATCCGCAGCAACTGCCTCTTCGATGCTAGTGTAGGGGAACTTCGAGTTGGAGCTCACACCGAGAAGCCATGCAGGATCGGCGTGCTTGTACAACGGGATGGTGTCATTAAGCTGATTCTCGATGATGAGATCGACGACGCTACCCATGGGAATGCCGTCAATGACCGGCTTTCCAAGTGATGCTTCTGAGCTTGAGTTGAACTCGTGGAAGAGTAATGGAGTCAGAGAAGAGCGGAAGAGCTGCCAAGGCTTCTCGTTGAGGAAGTATTCAGGCATATGCGGCTCCGTCAGAGAAGGCTGGGAGCCAGCTGCAAGGTGGAAGGTGAAGTCGGCAGATGCTGGGCGGGACTTCTTGGCCTTAGGCGGCGGCAATGCAGGGTAAGGAGGGAGGAAAAGCCCGGAAGTGGTCTTGCAATGCTTCTTCGTGGAGCCGTCGGGGAGGACGCAGACGTCGTCCAAGGACTCTGGCTGGGGCAGTTCCATGGGTTCGCCGTAGATAGGACGGCGGCTTGCCTGTGGAGAAGTAATGTCAGTCTCGTATCAACCTCAGCTACTGTAGCCGATGTGAACTTACGGGGTATCGAAGGATTGAGTAGCCCTGGAGGTTTTGCATTTGACTTGTAGACGACAGTCGCAGCGCATAGTCGCCCGGCTTAGCGTCCAACTTGACTAGAACGGTGACACGGCCCGCGCTGGGAATGTACACGACCTTTAAAGCGTTAGGAACATGACTACATTCTGTTAAAGAGAGGTTAAACTTACGCCCGTCTCTTCGGGAATGACAAAGCCTCCGTTATTGGCCACGACTATCATTTTGTGGCTGTCAATAGACGCCATGACGGAGTGCTCGAAGCCAATGTTGATCAAGTTCAGCATGATGTAGGCTCGGCCTTCAGTCTCAATGACCTGCGATTATCAGCATCCGGGAAAAAATACGACTAAACCCATTATGTATACCTCATAGTCAGCCTTACTAGGTGTGCAGGTCTCTTGCGGCAATCCGGCAGGTTGAATGCAACCAGTCTCGTCCAGGTTGTGGCCGTTCAGCGTCTCGAAGCCCGGCTGACGGCAGTGAACGCGACCCTTGCCTGGTGAAGTTAGCGAGATGCTCGTACCCTCGGCTTCGCGGAATTTTGAAACCCACCATTGACAATGATCGAGTCATAACAATAGAATTCGGAACCTTCAGATCGCATACGCAGCATCTTCCAGCCGGTGTCACGGTGTTGGTGGTTCTTGATGGCCAAATGCTGAGCCTCCTTCTCGGCTTCCATGATCTTACGCAGTTCAATCTCGTCCTTGGTGATGAGGCGGTATGGCCTCGGTCGCGATGGACTCGGTGCCACATACACCATGCCGTAGAGACCCTATAGGCTTGTGAGTAAATGGATCATCTTGAAGTCAGTCAACGGGTGGCCATACGTCAGCTGAGGCTGCCGAAGTATGTTCGGCATACCAGTTCAGGCCCCAGGAGCCGGCGGTGTCAATCAAGCTGGTGAAGTTGCCACGAGGCAAGATGGGGAACTAATGTTAGAAACGTTAGTCTTTTAAACAATTCTAAGGAATAAGGTGCGGCGAACCTGCGAAATGCCGGCGGTACCATCGTTCCAGCTACCAGTTCTGGGGAGATGTTAGACTTGGCCATGCAGACGTGTCGGCTATTGACATCTTACCCTTTGTGTCCAATTCCAGACCTGAATTTGAGTTAGAAAACACTGAAACGGTCAATGGACACTTTGAATGTGGAACGAATACCAGTGAATTGATGACTGCGCATAGACGTCGCTCTTTACAGTCAACTCTACGAGGTCGCCCTCCTCTGCGCGCAGCGTGGGGCAGGGCGACTGGCCGTTGCACACGAACATGACTCTCCAGCGACCGCCATCTTGGTCTCATTAGCGATGTATTTTGGAAGTTTCTCAACAAGAAGATGACATACCTTGATTCATCCATCTAACTCCCGATTGAATGGTGTACTTGCGGGTGAGTCTGTCTGACTTGTGGGAGGACAGGCGGTTCCAGACGCCGAGCAGCGCATGGTGTGGGCTATCACCGCGCCAAAACCCGGCGAGCACGAAGAGACATAGTGCTGCTAGGCCAGAAACCCAGAATGCTCTGGACTTCTTGCCGCTTTCTCTCTTCAACAAACCAACTTGCGTCAGCTCAAGCTGTTCACTTTTGGACCCCATTTTCGCGTTCGATGCGGAAACAGCAACAAACAACCAAAGGCGACCCAAGAGTCGGGGAGGGCCCTCTGTTTGGGCTCTGGGTCAATAAGTAAAAGCCCGCAGGCACCGCGGCCCCCGCGGAGGGTCATGCCCCATATCCTAGCCCCCATCGTCTCTACCGAGACTGACAATGCAACTCACCGACTTACACTGACTAGTAGATCGTCGTAGACGCTAAGCCACCGTTTTGCTTCGGACCGCAGAGCCTGCAACGTTGTAGCTTTCGGAGCGTATCACGGCCAAGGAGCATTACCCTGTTTCGCTATGAAGACCCGTTGATCATGATTCGCGTGGTGGCGGCATCGTCGGTCTCCATTCGAAACAGACGGAGTAACTACGGCGATTGGCAGAAGTGCTCTCGCAACGTGCGTAAGGGGTCCTGGGTCTTGGGTCCGTACCCACCTCCAGGTGAGGCGAAGGTGCGTAGCAGAAAGTCTAAACGGCCGCTGAAGAAGCCTAGACAAATGACAGGCGTCCTAGATTGCGGGAAAGCGGGTTGTTACCCCTGACTCGGTAAACTCTAACGGTTGCATCGGATGGTGGTAGGGATGGCCTAGATATCGGTAAATGCGCCGGTGGATGGGGGGGATTAGTGATAAATCCTGCTGTTGGGCACCGAGGGCTTTTGTTGTTTAATGAGAAAGGGCCCGGCTCTGAGATTCTCTCGCTTCTACGGGTGTGGGACAAAGCATCATGGCTGCCTTCACTCGATGTGCGACCTTTTTTCTCCTCGCCGGCGCAAGTCTGGCGGCGCAGACGAGGAGATACAACTTCACCATCACTAACAAGTGGGACACCGGGGATGGCCATGGCAGGCCTGTCTTTGCCATCAACAATGAGACACCCGGCCCGCTCATTGTAGCGGATGAGGGAGATGAGATTGAGGTATTTCTTGACAACCAATTGGCGTTCGAGACAACTATGCACTGGTAAGCTGTTGAAGTTCTCACGGATCTTGATTTCGCAAAGGACTGTGGTTTAACACTGAGTAGGCATGGAATCTACCAAATTGACAAGCCCTGGAATGACGGAGTTCCGGGAGTGACCCAGTATTCCATTCAACCTCGCGACACCTACACGTATCGCTTTACCGTCCAGCAACAATATGGTAGCTACTTCTACCATGGCCACTTCGGACCAGCCTTCGCAGATGGCATGCGAGGTCCCATCTGGATTGTACCTGCACCATGGAGACCAAGACCGTATGAGCTCATCTCGTCGTCGCCGTCAGACATTGAGGGCATGAAGCTTGCGGAGGAGAATCCTCACCACGTCGTCATCAGCGATTGGAACGCT